GTTTAAAATTCCCCAAACGTGATGCAGAAGGTAACAGCATTCAGTAAAACAAAGTTTTGCAGCAGCAGAGATATTGTAATTACTTCACTTTTACATTTTACCAGCAAATGACTTAAACTGAAGTTAGTTTCATTTTTATGCCTGCTTGGTGGCAGGGTGGAAGCCATTGCCCTCTCTGTGTTCCCTGGACGTGGTGATGCGTGGACAAGGAGGACAGCACAGTCCCCACTGCAGGAGTGTCCATTCTGAACGGGCCTTTGAAACGCTCACCTCGCTGGGGGAAGTGAGTCAGACTGTGTGAAATGGGGTCGTTCTTTTGGGTGTCAGGGTGTTGGCTCAGGAGACTTAAAGAAGCTCAGGGGAAAGGTGGCAACCACACTGCTGACAACCTGCAGGCCTGATCTGCGATGTGGTTTCTAGATCCAGCTCTACCACTGATTTGTTGCCTGACCTTGAACAGATTCTGTCTGTCCCCATTTATTTGCTGTCTTGTCTCTCACAGAGGACTTAGTTCTTTGGGGCTAGGACCAGATCCTACTGTGAGCTTGCAGGATTTTAAAGGACTCAGCTTGCAGGTGTTGCTACTAAACCAAAAATCAGCTCTGCCTGAGGTGGGAAGGGCAAGTCACCAGTTTGTAGGAGCAACTGAGCATTAAGGTCATGCAGGTTCTTCTACCTTGTTTTCTGTGGTTGTCTTCCTCAGCTGTTGGTAAGTCATTTGCTAAGAGGGAAAAAGGTGATGGTTACTGCATGTACTCTGATACGAAAACACAGAGTCCTTCTTTGTTTATGACTGAAAAAGCCGCTTTTCCTTGCTAATTGTTTGGTAGTTTGCATGTAGCATGGGTCCCACTCAGTCTTTCCCCTCCATCTTTTCCTCCTACCATCCACACACTTCTGCATTACGCTTTCGGTGTCTTGTCAAAACTTAGCCATGAAGCTCCTTTTGTGTAAGACAGCTCAGCCCAGCTATTGTAATAAAAATGCTGTTCTTATATGCTGGGACTTAGATGTTCTGAGACAATGTTTGGTGCAGCGTAACTCCCATTAGCAAACATTTGGTACTGGTGTACTTACTATGCTACTGTAACTTCTGCATGGATACACTCGCTTTGGTTTCATTCTTTGTTCACCATCATCTGAGACATGGAGAGTGTGCATTCCTCATCTAGCATCCTCATCTAGCACTTGGTGCTCGCTCAGCATTTCCCAGTCTGGAGGAGGCTGGTTGAGGGAGGTGGTAAGGTAACAGTACCTTGCAGCACAGTGTTCAGAGGCCAGCTGAGAGACCAAGGTTGATAACATGGTTTGTACTCAATTTGTTCCCCTTTTTAATATTTGTAACCGGTAACACAGCTTTTATTTTAGTATTTCTTACTGTTAGTATCATATTGGTTTGCTCTGATTTCAAAGTCTGTGGGAAAGGATGTGAAAGTGGGAGAAGAACATCCGAAGCTGTAGGATTTTCGTGTTGCTTCTGAGATTTGCCTACAGTTTTGATTAAAATAGGTTCACATTAAAGACTATGGAAGCTGCTCTCTCCTCCAAAATGCAGCCGAGTTATGCAACCTCCCCCCCAGCCTAGAGCCAGACTGCAGAGAATCACTCTGTGTTTCCAGGTTTTGAAGCTACCCCTTCTTCTCAGCTGCAAAACATTTTCTTTTTGTAATGCACAGGCTATTTATTCACTTCATTGCAGTGACCTGGTATCTGTGAAGGTGTTTCCTTTTGCACACAGGCAGCTCCTTAGCGTGTGGGTACATTGTGCAGTCATTTCTAAGGTTTACCTGCACGGGCACTGAATTCAGGCATGACAGCCTGGGCAGTGTCAAGGTTCTGCACCAAAAACACAGACTTATGGAAAATGATCAGAAGCTCCCACACTGAACAGGAGCTGAAAAATGTGGATCACACAGCAGGGACTTGTAACGTAACCTTGTCGCTGGAAAAAGGCGCAGTGTGAGGCGGGGAGGATGTGGTCCTGCAAACATTTCTGCATGTACTAACGTTATATGTGAGTAGCCTCACTGCAGCTGAGGGGGATGTTAACAGTAGAGCAAGTGCCTACACCTTGCAGCACAACAGCCCATGCGCTTCTTCCCCCTGCAGTTGACGCAGTGCTATGGCTTGGCTGTGTTACCAGAGCTTATTGGAAATAAAATATGAGAGTCCTAAGAGCAACAAAAACATTTGGGGGGCTGGAGACTGAGCGAGGGGAAAGGTTGGCTCCTTGGTGATAAAGTGAGAGCTGAGACGCTTTGCAAACTGTACAGAGAGAGGAGGGAGAGGGATTGTGGAGAGGTGGCACCGTGGGAATTGGCAGAGGGAAGAGGAAATTATGAGTAACAAGTGAAATAAAGACCCAAATATTTCAGGGCTGATTTGCCACTGATAGCAGTTAGCCTGGGGAGCTGGTATTTTCTTATAATTTGCGACATTTTTGTTCTGTTTCCTGTCAGTCTCCAACAGTCCTAAAGGGCATTGCTTCTGCCTGGAAATGGCCAAATCATCCACACTTTGCAGTAAGAACAAGCATGCCCTGGCCTTTGTTGGAGGGGCTGGCAGGAGCCCCCAGAGCGTTTCCAGCTCTTCTGTCTGAAACGTTTTCAAAGCGTCTATAAAATATTAGAGCCTTGAATTTCTTTTGGAAAGAATTTCTACGTGATTGCCTGCATTTTGCTAATACAGAGTAAAGGTAGCGCTCTGCAAGAGGTTTGGGAATCTCTCCGTGGAATTCAATGGCAATGGGATAAAATCAGCACTGGAGAGAATCCAGGAGTCTTTGGGAACCTGCAAAATGGAAGGGTCATCACTGATCTGGGCACCAAGTTTACATTTTTTCTAGTGAAAAAAAGAGGTCGACAAAAGCAAAAGGGAGCTGGGAGGAGGAAACCCCAGAAATAGCTGCCAAAATGGGCACTGAGTGAAGAAATTCAGTTTGCTGCAAACACCTTCCACGTTTCTACTGTCAAAAGAAGATAGGGATCTGACCTTCTCCTGCTACAAGACATGCTGCTCCATGGGCAGCTCTGCTCCCAGGTAGTTCTTCCTTTAGTTGTGTTTGCTGAGCAACATTCACAGTCTCCAGCTGAAAAGGATAAATTAGCTCAAGAGAGATGAGGCTTTTGCTCATTCCCATGCTTGTTTGCCTGGACTTAACAGGGTACCTCTGCACAGTGCTTCATTCCTTCCTTCGGACCGGTCTCCCCAGTCTGTTCCCTCCTTGGTTTGGTCTTGGTTGCTTACATACAGAGGCTTTCTCCCACATTTTCATGGAGCAGGTTTTACCTGCTGCCTCCACAGGTTGGTCTGTCAGTCCATGGAGATGCTTTTGTCCCTTAATTGCGTTTTGCTACAGGTTTTATCAAGAGCTGGGAGCCCCTGCAGGGGAAAGCCAGTAAGATAGCAGCTTCTACTGCATCTTGTCCCTACAGAGCGGGGAGACATCACCCCCAAATGCCCAGGGACGCACTGCTGAGGCATTTCTTGCACACGCCTCCTCCGTCTAAGAGACAGCCTGGGGTCTTGTTGCTGCAGTTTCCCTTTAAATGTCTTTGGGAAGTTTGCTGTAGTCGGAGAGGTGCTCTGCAGGCACCTGCTCCTTGGGCGGCTGGGGAGCCTGAAGGCAGGGCTCTGCTGAGGGCATCCAAGCTGTCACTGCCTTTCGCGGTGGCCGGGCCCTCACGGCAGCCCCCGTCCTGCTCAGCCTTCCTCCAGGCAGCCAATTAGCGAGAAATCCCACTGTGTGGCCAGCTCCGAACGGCCACTGCTGCGCCAAGGCCCGGGCTGACCCATGCCCTGCTGCAGCTGGGCCAGGGCTGCGGCTGGCGAGCTGGGGGGATGCACAGGCCGTTCAGCCAGACAGGGCAGCTGAGAGCCTGCGAAGCTCTGACAGGCGGCCGGACGAGGGGCTTTTCAGGAAGACCCTGCCCGGAGCTGTGAGCGCCACAGGTGGGAACGTCTCTCCAGCTCCTGAATATTCATCTCAGCCTGGGCTGCAAAACAGGGCAAAGCCAGGCCCAGCCGCCTGCTGCCGTCCAGCCGTAGCCTGGCCGTGCTGCTGGCAGAGGTGGGAGCAGCCTGCTCGCTCCAGCGTCTGCATGCTGTGTGAGTGAAACCTCTTCCCAGAGCCAAACCACCAGCGTCTCCACAGTCTGAGGGCTCAGGGGCTCTGGAGAGCCTTTGTGGCCTTGAACCTTTAAAGCAGCTCTGTGCTGGTGTACTCTGTCCTTGCTTTGTGCCTCCAGTTACCTCTTCCTCTCTGTTTTTGCTCTCTCAGTCTTCAACTCTTCACAGGACTTTGTCAAGCCTCGCTCCTTTAGCAGGATTCAGTGTGCACCCAGTTCTTCCTCCTTTTCTCCATTCTTTTGTCTCTAGCACCTTTTTTAGGTGGAGTAGCTATAATCCTTGTGCTGGGAATACCCAGTGACCCAGGCATCAGCCATTCCAGGGTCACACTGGAAATCTGAAAAGCTTTATGACATTACAGCTAGGTGCATCCTCCCTAGTATCTGTATCTGCTAGACTACTAGCATTTCCTTCCTCAGCTGTCGGGCAGGTCACAGGCCCCTGCACAGTCTGAGACAGTTTCTGCCCCACATTTCATTTCTAACAGTCCAGGTGGCTGAGCTGAGCAAAGGATAACACACCTCATGAGAAGCAAATTCTTGCCAGATGATGGCAAGTAGGCAGCAGCGTTTAGAGCGGATGGCTTCTTTCAGCTTCAAGGTTGTGTTCAAATGCACGGTCCATCGCTATGGAGTCCTACCCAGCCTAAATCTGCTCCTTTTGCAAGATTTCTTTTGATCCCAAGCTTCAAAGCTTTATTGTCTTGCTTTAATATTAAACAATGTATTTTAATAATTGCTAAATAACTCTCTAGTGTTTTCCTCTAATCAGAAATAGGCTGTTTCATATTCGTGAAGCAAGGGAACCTTTGTCTCTAGTGAGAGGAGAGCATAGCACTCCCCACTTAGTGCTGCTGTTTTCTCTTGTTGCAGACATTCCTGTGATCCCTGACTTGGAGGAAGTCCAGGAGGAAGATCTGGCCATGCAGGTCGCAGCTCCCCCCAGGTAAGGGCTCTGCCTGGTGTTCTGGAGGCTGTCATCAGCAGTGCAGAATGGCTGGCGAAATTAAACTCCATCTTTTCTCGTGCTGTCTGGACACCAGTGGCAGTGCCATTCAGCAGGGTTTGATGCTGGGTACTGTGGCAGTGTTCAAAGCTGAACAGGGCAAATTTCTTGTGTCCTATTACACAGAGAAAGCAATTACTGCATAATTCTCTTTCTGTGTAAAAAACTACATTAGAGTAGCATGTTTGATGTTGCAAAATCAAACTCAAAAGTTAGGAGTTGCTTTATTTGAGGTTGCCTGTATAACCTCAGATGCCTCCAGTTCACCTGTATTATCACACGCGCTTTGATGATGCATGGTTGTAGGCTGCTTTGCCCTCCGCAGGACATCCTTCTTACTCAAGTGCCTAGTTAATTTGCAGAGTACAAGCCTGTTGTTTGAAGGTGTAATCAGAATAGTCTTGGGGTTAGCTCAAGGGAGACCAGCAAGTTTTAAAAAAATGAAAGTTTTGGGGGTTTTTGTCTTAAATGTATCAGTAAAGTCTTCTATCCCTTGTTGGGCCTATTGCCAAGATCACAGGCTGGGATTGCTATTCACCCTTATTTGGAGGGCTGGGATATCTTAGTCCTCATCGCAGATGCCTCTCTCACAAGAATGGAGTAGGTGTTGTAATTAAATAGCTGTTAACAGAAATAAATGACACTTAATAGTAGAAAATGTAAAGTTACTTTGTCTCTCACCAGAGTTCATGACTTTGTTTTCTCTCCTTTTTTATAATCCCATCTGTTCCTCCTGTATCCATAGTCTCCCTGCAATAGAAAAGACAAGTAATTTTCATGGACAAACACAAACAGAAAATAAAGTAATACCGGTCTTTCCTACAGTATTGCATCACCTGCGAAGGGAAGCATGGCACAAGAGGGTATTACTCTTCTACCCAGTGTTTCTCTTTGGAGGCTACATTTTATGAAATAGTATTTGATAGCAGCGACTCGGCTTTGACATGGAAGTAACAAGGTCCCTTGTAGCCTGTATGGTGGGGCTCTCAAAGCCTGCTGAGGCTGTTCCAATATCCTCTATGTTCTTGTTTTCTTTCTGGCCCTTTGAGCTAGTCTGTGGATCTTCTCCCTGCCGTGCTGGCTTCTCTGAGGGAGTCTGTGGTCACTCCACATCCTATTTTTATGCATGTGCACAGCCTGGCATGCAGGTTTGTCAGTGACTTCATTTGCTGAATGAGATTTGCTTCTGTCTGGGGACACCCATCTCAAGAGTCCACGTGGATGATGTGGACACTTGAGATGGGTGCACCAGATTCCTGCTCATGCCACCCTTCTCCTCAGATGTGCTCCCATACTTACCCAGGCTTGTTCTTTGACCCTTTGTGGTTGCAGTGTGCAGGTGGACCGCGTGCTGACCTACCGTGACCTGGACAAAGACCTTATGAAGTACGCTGCCTTTCAGACCCTGGTACGTGGATGTTGCTATCGGGTGACCGATGCGATTCCCTCTCCTTGCAGGCTCCCATCATTCTCCACAGTGATACTCAGCTGCATAAAATATACAGCCCTACCTATCATCCAACGACTTCCAGCCGCTTTCAAGCCTGTTCTCCTCTGCAGAGTGGCTTCCATGGTTGTTTGTGTCTGTCAATAGTGTGGATATGGTATCTGCTGCTCGAGTGAGGCTCCTGCTGTTGTCCTGGACAAAGTATATGTCCCTCATGAGGCAGGTGTTGTGCCTGTCTCTAGCAAGACCAACCTGGTGCAATGAAGGTGTCCACTTTCTCATTGTAAGATTGTGACTGTGTGTGTTTATAGGATGGAGAGGTTGACCTGAAGCTTCTCACCAAAGTTCTGGCTCCGGAGCATGAACTACGAGAGGTGAGGCTTTCTTTTGTGAAATACCACCAAGGCAAAAGCTGCTTCTGTGTCTCAGACTATACTTGGAAAGTAAGCCCTTGTCAGTGGGGTGGAGGAAAGAGATGAGGAGGAGGCTGTGAAGAGGAGCTTGTCCAAGAGGATGGAGAGCTCATTTCCCCAGCAGATTAATTTAAAGATATATAGGGCTTTCTCTGTGTGAGATTATGGCATCACTATGATTGGTCCCCTTCAGTATGAAAGAGCTAGCAAGGAAAATCTGAAAGGCCCAGCGGTGTGACAGATCTCTGCAGAAACAGTGCTCTGTGGGTTGTCTTTTGGTAGCCACCATGAGCTCCACGTAGTTCTACAGGGCAGTACAGATGGACAAAGGCAGAAAGGATTTGACAGAAGGATGTGTTAAAGCAGGACAGAACAACCTCAGTACCATAGGGGGGCAGGAGCTCGGGACTTGCCACAGAGGATTTCTGCAGCTCGTAACTACAGATGCTTCAGCAGAAGTGCAAAAGAGTAAAAGATTTCTATGGCTCCTCTTTACACCCTGCCTGGGAGGTGTAAGATTGACAAGTATCAAACATTCTGTCCATTGCAGAATTTTGGAACATGAATCATTCTGTCAAAATCTTTAAACTGTAGCAGGGATTCTCATTTCATTCTGGCAAGGATTCCTGTTCTAGCCAACTCAATCTGGGACTTCCCTGGTGGGGGCAGCTGCCATTTAGTTTCTCTCTTTGCTGTTCATCTTGAATATTTGGCATTGTTCAGAGACCTTTGGGTGTCACCAGTAACGTGTCAGCATGTTTGTCTTTTTCCTCTTGGTAGGATGATGTCGGCTGGAATTGGGACCATCTCTTCACAGAGGTGTCCTCAGAACTAGCAACTGAGTGGGACCTGGGACAGCCTGAGAGAGAGGACCACCTAAGTGTGCCCTAGAGCACTGGCACACCAGACATCTCATACACGCATCCCCTGTAAATAAACACTTCAATTTTCTAATTACTTGTTTGGATTTGAGAATTTATTTCAGACATGAACATAAATAGGACCTTGCTTCATAGGAAAACTGTCTCAGGAGAAGTTTTGAGTATTTTGTAATAAAAAACTTTGTTCTCAGAGGAGATTAAGAATTCTAAACACAATAAAGTAGTTACTTATGAACAGTCACTTCCACGTCACTAGCACCTTCACAGATGACTGCAACAGTCGATCTTTCCTCTACTGAAATGCAGCCTGTCTGGGGTAGACCCTCTTACAATGGAGTGTGGTTTTCACTGATGGCTGTCAGAGAAGCTTAGGCTGATAGGAGTTGTTTGCCTAGGACATCAATATTACTGTCTTCCTCACAACGCATGACAGGGCTTGTCAGGACACCCATTTTACCAGCCATCCCTTGCTGGTTTAACCTCTCTTCTGGAACAGTACCCCTGTAGTGACTCAGAGGAAGCAGCTTTACCTGTTAAACTGCCAACACTGCTTCTCACAGCACCCTTTTTTCCCCTTGAGGTGTCCAAGCTAAGTTCTGACCAGGTCTAACCCCCCTTAGCTTTTGCAGTCAGATGAGATCACAACCTGAATGGAAATAGCTTCAGGCAATAGGTAGTTTGCACAGAAAATACCGTTTATTCCACACGTGTGAAAGAGTGGAGTCTGCTGCTCTGAAAAAAGGTAAGTCCCTGATGGATGTCTGCTTGGAACCAGGTAACCCACTCTTGTGGTCATGTAAGGAAAAATCCATTTAGCTGTTAATGCCCTGTCATTATTTCCAGGAAACAGTAACATTACTCCTAAGCCCATGTCCTTCAAGCCTTATCCCACTGGGAAGTCTTGCTACATACTGGGAGGGCAGTGCAGGTGTTGGGAGGAAGACTTGCGTGCTGCTTTGCTTATCTTGTTTGGGCAGTCTAATAGAGCACTGCGTTCCCACTCTTGTACTGACACCAGGACAGGTCAGATAACTCACTGTGAATTCAGTGCTCTGCAGAATTTCACATCAGAGTTGATAGGCCAAACAAATTACCAACAAGAGAGAGGCAATTGGGTCCCAGTCTAGGGCCACCAAAATAAGGGGGGGCTCATCTGTCTCAAGGAGCACTAACCAAACACAGGTTTGGCTGCCCCCTCTGGCTTGGGACCCTGGGCAGGGATGCTCTGGGGTGTGTGAGCCCGGCCTGTGCCCACCCTGGGACCTTGGGAGCCCAGCAAATACCTGGGCAGAGTTTGAGAGTGGAGCTTGAAAAAAAATCCCAGTCTCATCTATTTAAAGACAAGAAGAGGTGGCTTTGATCATTTAGTCTGACCTGCTATAATGCAGGCCATGGCAGAGTCCAGTGAGATGTGGCTGAGCTTTGCCCCTCTTAGAAAGGCAGGCAGTGTATTTGAACATCTTCCCTGGTTAGTTTTTCTAATGGATAATCACCCTTATGGCTCAGAATCTGCTTTATTTCTAGACTCAGTTTTTGAGTTTGATCTTCTGTGCTCTGAGCTTATGCTTTCACCTTCCCCATTAAGCCACGCTGTCAGATATTTTCTCCTTGCTTCAGTATTTATGTGCTCTGTGATCAAGTTGTCTCTTTAATTTCCTTCAATAAACTTAATAGACTGAGACTTGTTTCCATGTCTTTTCAATTCCTTCCCCAGCTGGAGGAGGGGAGGTGAGTGTCTGGCCTTCCTCCAGCAAGCTGTTCCCACCCCCTTCCTGCCACAGTCGTGTTTTGGTTGCAGCGCTGGGAAGGTGACTGAGACCTGTGGTTTCTCCTCTCAGGTCCCGGTGCTGTCAGAGAAGAACCTGCTCCTGTTACTAAAATGAAATGAGGAGGTACTTCTGCATGCCCAGGGCAGCTCATGGCTCGTGGTGATGCACCAGTGCATGTTCAAGAAGGACAGGGAATTGCTTGGAAGAGTCCAGCAGAGCCACAAAGATGATGGAGGGAGTGAAGCATCTCCTGCTGAGGAGCGGCTCAGGGAGCTGGGGCTCTTGAGCTTGGAGCAGAGGAGACTGAGGGGTGCCCTCATTCCTGGGGATCCATTTGGAAAGGGCGAGTGTCAGGAGGAAGGAGCCAGGCTCTGCTCTGGGATGTCCAATGCCAGGACAAGGGGCAATGGGAGCAAGCTGAAGCACAGGAGGTTCAACCTGAACATGAGGATAAAGTTTGTCAGGGTGCCAGAGCATGGCCCAGGCTGCCCAGAGAGGTTGTGGAGTCTCCTTCTCTGGAGACACCCAAAGCCCTGGCCGTGTTCCTGTGTGACTGCTCTGGTGATCCTGCTCTGGCAGGGGTTGCACTGGGGGAGCTTTCCAGGTCCCTTCCAACTCCTGACATTCTGGGATTCTGTGTTGGCTGTGACAAAACTGCCTCAGGACCCTGCATTTCTCAAAGTTTGCCTGGAAAGAGCATGCAAAGGAAGAAATGACAGATGTAAATGTTTTCTTGTGGCCTGCAGAGGTGTAGCTCTGACTGATCCTGAGGCGAGGTGAGAAGTGAGAGCAGATCACCACAACAACACACCTGGCTCCTGGGAACTCAGACCAGGCCCCTGGGCTGTGCCCAGACAAGGAACAGAGCAATGATCCCATGTTGATCTCCACAGACCTGTGTCACACAGGGGTAAAGTGCAGTGGTGTGCCTGGGGCCACACAGCAAATCTGTGGCAGAATTGGGGTTAGAAATGAGGAACCTCAAGTGCCTGATTGAAGTATGGCTTTCCTACATGCTTTCATGTATACAGCTTTCAACCTGCCAGGATGTGTTCCTGTCTGATCTTCTCTGGGTGATCCTGCTCCAGCAGCGGGGTTGGACTGGATGATCCTCAGAGGTCCCTTCCAACCCCTACCATTCTGTGATACCTTGGTGAGTGTTTTCCATCTTCCAGTTGAAGATGGCAATTCAATGTAGGCAGGCTTGTGTCCTGCTTGCTCTTTGTCCTGGTCTGTTCATACATTGCTGAGGGAGGGCTGAAAACCCATCCAAGTGTGTTGTCAGTAACCCTAACCCTAACCCCGGTCTGGGGTGTCTACCCAGGGACTTGCTGGGAATCTGGATGAGTCTAAATATTGACCTGCAGCCTCTTGCAGGCTCAGGGCTCAATAGACTGCTCCAGGCAAATAGTGAGCCTCATCACAGAAGGATTAAAAGAAATGCAGAAAGGAAAAATTAATTCTAGGTCCTATCAGTTTTAGGAATGTCTAGGTTTGCCTGTAATAATAGAAATCCTATGTATAGGCTTTCTTGGTGGATTATAGACTTTCTTGGAGATGGTGGAGATACTTTACTAGAGTGCAGTTTGTTGTTGTTGGTGGTTGGACATTGGAGCAGATACAGCATACACAGCGCTGGGAAAAAATAGGAAATAAAAGCTGAAAAAAAAGCCAGACCCAGGAACTTTCCATTAAAGACCCCGCCAGCCAGGAGCCTCTTAAAGGGACTCTGGCTGGCTGTTTTATTAAGTGTGACAAAGTGATGGGAGGTGGGGGGGAGCTCCTATGCTAATAAGTTGGAAAGGCACGGCCGTTCCTCTCGCTGGAGCATCTCAGGGAAAGTGGAATTAATTCATGGCATATGCTCCCAGCATCTGCCGCACTGACCCAGAGTGGCAGGAGCGCAGTGCCAGGCAGTGCCAGCCAGGGCCCGTATTCCCCACTTGTCTCTCGGGCCTTGCTCGCCGCCTGCCCGTGGCTGAGCGTTTGGGGTGACGGCTGCTCCTAGGAGCGCACCCCCCGCTGCCCACCCGCCTGCCGCCTGGCCTGGAGGGGATGGCACAGCCCATGGACAGAGCCTTGCTGCCCCTGAAGAAGGAGAAGGGGATGTTTGGATAGAAAAGAGAGCAATTCGAATGGAAGCTAATCCAGTTTGTCCCAAACAACCCTAATTCCTCCCACAGCGTTCCCTGACCAAGTCCTCCCTTCTCCAGCCATCTGACTTGGTCTGTGGCTTGCTCCCTCTTCCTTCTTTCTCCCTGCATCTCTGCAAATGATCTGCTCCTCTCCTCGACAGACAGGACAGGGGTTGTGTTTGCTGTCAGGTGGGATTTCATTCTCTGTTTAATGGCTCCTGGGAAATAACTTTCCACACCTTACTTCCTCTCGACCAATCTGCACCATGGCCAGGAGCCGTGTCCAGCTGGTACAGGTGGGTGCACTGTGTTGTTTCCAAGCTGCAGCAATCTTTGCCTGTGCTTCATGCTCTGTGTGTGAGCTTTCCCTTGGGAAAGGGCAGAGCTAACCCTTCACTGGCTGCTCTTTCCTCAGCCACATCCTTCCACCTTTTTGGACAACTGCCTGAGATATGGGACACTTTCTCAGCCTGTAGAGCTGACAGAGCCAGGAGAGACTGGAGCAGTGGGTGATCACCAAACAGTTCAGTGATGCCCCATGCTGCTTCTGTGCTCTCCCAGCAACTGTCCCTGCACCTCAGCAGCTTCTCTTGCTTGTGCTTCCTTTCAAAATGTGACCTCCCAGTCCTGGGTTGTGCTGGGACCATGCAGTGCTGAGTGAGGGCCAAGGCAGAGGTCCCAGCTGTGGGGCACCATGAGGGATCCACATTTGGCTGCCCTGGTGATACCAGGGCTGTGCTTTATCCAAGGGTACGACCTGCTCTCCTTGCAGCCACAGCTTGGGATGCATCCAAGTTGATTCCGTCAGGAACGCTGCACGACACGGACATCCAGAGCTCCTGAGCCCATTAATCTCTCTGCCATGCTCCCTGGGGAGATGAAACCTTTCCTCCAGTGCCCCGTTACCTGGGTCTGCCCCATCAGGCTGTTCTGCACAGACCTCACTGAAGCCGGGGCTGCTCCAGGCCGTGGGCCCTCTTATCAGGCTCCATCTCCTGTCACTTTCAGGACCACTTCATTATCCTTTTATTAGCCCTCTTCTCCTGCTTATCGTTATTAATAATCACGCTGGATCGGCTGGAGTGCTGACAGCTGCCCCTTGTCCATTCTTTCTCTCTATTTTAATCCTGCCTGCTTATCTGGAATAAACCTGATCCTTTTAATTAAAGAAATTTGGTCAGCCAGCCCCTCCTCCATGCAGAGATAGGCCTGATCACACCAGTGATATGC